TTCTATGCAAATCCTTAGTCTGCCAAAGAGCAAGTAATAAGCTGGATAATAATTATGTTGTATTTCTGTTGTTTTTCCAAAAGCTTTGTCCTAGAGCTAAGAATATCTTAGAAATGCACATGCTGCTACTTTAGAAGAGTTTATGTACTTATTATTATAGCATTATATTATAGATGTATTATAGTATCACTTGTCTCCTTCCATCATCCAGTGGTGGTGGTGTTTGAGCACGAGGGAGGGAGGTCTCTACCCTCATTAGGTTTTTATGTAAACTTACAGTCCTTTCTGGGAGACATTCCCACCCTTATTTGTACAGAGAAAACTGAGGGGAGAAGAATATGTCCAAAATCACCAAGCACTAGACTTTGTTAGAGGTCAGTCTAGAAAGTGTGCCTCTGTCCAGAGCCATAATGCTGCCCACACCTCTGTTATCTGTCCTGAATAAGGCTTTATAACTGTTTCAACGCTTAGCTTTTCCAGTACGATTCAATAACACAACCTGTGTTGGGTCTGGTTACTTCTGAGCTGAGATGATGGACAGATTATAGGATGTCTCTCTGCCTGTCTCCTCTCCTGTAAGGTGGATTGTTCAGTGTTTCCCTCCAGTGTCATTCTGTGTGTGGGGGGGGGGGCGGCGCACGTGCGCACACGTTAGTGCAAACGTTCTAGAGGAGACCTGGGAGATGAGCGCTCTCTATAAAGATCAGCTGCTGTTTGTCTTTCGTTGTCTCACCTGCACCCTTAAAGCTTCTTTCCTTTAGACTTATTTACTCTGAGACCTCGCTTTCTGGTAGGCTAGAAGCCTGAGTTTCACTCACAGAGGAATCTTCTGAATTCACAGATTTCCTCACGCCAGGATCTAGTAGATTAGCAGCCTCTGATCCCCTTGCACTAGAATCTAGTGGATTATCAGCCTTTAAATCCATTACCTGGGGATCTGGTAGAATAATAGATTAGCAGCCTTTGAAACACTTACTTGGACGAGTGGTTAACTAGCACCCTGGGATTCCCTTATATGTGGGTCCAGCAGCCCCTGGCTTTTATCTGTACTGTTTTGTTTTCTTGCTTGGCATATTTTGTACATCTTTAATGTTCTTTCTTTTGCCACTTAAACTCATCTTGTTAGGACCTTGACATGTTTGTTTAACTCTATGGACTCACTCAAGATTCATGATCACAATTAACCTGGCATGGAGTCCCAGGAGGCAGCTCTAGCTCTTTCTGATGTTCCTCTCTGGCTTTCTGGGGACTCATCCTCATTAGCATTTATAACCAAAGAAGAGTGGAGGAGAAGTGACTCCCCAGGGCTTCTGGGTCTCTATAAGGGGAGGCGAATTGCTTTTCTTTGTGACTATGGAGGAGGTTTGGGCTGAAGAGTGTCATCCAAACTCAGTCTGTTGTTTCCTGATTCTGAAGCTTAAGCATCTGCTTTGTCAGAGTATGAAGGACCACACTAGTTCATGGAAGGCTTTTAGTTTATTTCTTGGTTTAATATGGGATCAGATGGATGTTTCCTCTACAGAGTCAGGAAACAAGTTTTATAGTCTTGCCAGACTGATGAGGAGTCTGAGAATGGACACCCTGTGGTGGCTGGACCTGCTTCATCTCTGGACATTATTAACAGAAACATTGTGCCATGATGTAGCCTTGTCCGTTCTCCTTGCTTCTACCACCCATGTTCTTGTAGAGATTTCTACTTGAATGCAGGTGGGTGGGACTTCTTTGCCCATTTCTGGGGAGAGTAGGTGAGGACACTAACTTTGCAGCTTGCTCTGAAGACAAGGTCTCTGGCTTACTTTCCTATGTCCCTGGAGGCCTGTCATCAGAGAGCCAGCCTGGGACAATCATGATTTTGGCTTAGCTGTCGGTAAGCGTCTCAGGACACATTGGCCAGGGCTGCATGGGCTAAGTATGGGATTCAGTAGATAATACACATGGCTTCTGTGAAGTTGCATTCAGATCCTTTACCTGTCCTGAGCTTGATGGGCACCGCAGTCCCAGTGAAGTGGATTTTAGATGGCTTTGCTTGGAATATCTCACAGAGGCACAATTCCTTGGGCAGGCATCTACATTGTGCTCTGTCTTAGAACTGAGCAGTGCTGATTCTCCCTTCTCTCTGGAGAGGACGTGCATGACCACATACTGCCCTGTGATCTATGAGGACATGCCTGTGCCTCCTCTGAGCCTGGTTTAGAAGTGAATCAACGTGAGGGAGGAAGAGAAGGAAAAGAAGCATCCGTACATGGTAAGGCCAGAAGGCCACAGGCTTGCTCCAAGGTTGGCCACAGGAACTACAGAATGGATTGGCATGGCACCCCAGCTTCAATACAAAACAGAAAAGAAAAATGTGTCAGACCCAGCAGCTGAGTACACCAAAGTAACGTAATGCTGGACAAATACAGAGAAGGTGGTCCTTGTCAGAGCAGGGGCAGATGCTGGAGGGAGGGTGGACTACGCATTTAATGTTCAGGCCCCAGCCGAATAGGCCTATGATCTTCATGACTAGAGTGGGAAAAGAAGCGTGGAGTGTCCTGCAATTCTGAGGCAAGCCTAGTGATCATGGAAATAAAGTCTAGGAACATTTTTGGTCATTCATCCTGAGGATATTTAGGGAATGAATGAGATGAGAGAGAGCCCTGGTCTAGAATAAGCTGATATTTTTAGAGGCCATTAAGTAAGATAAGGAAATTAGGAGACCATTGCCCAGCCTTCTTAGGCTCAATACATTGCAATATGTATATGAAGCCAATTTGTAAGCTATTAAAAGACAAAAGAGAAGTTTTGGCAATGAAAGGCCTCAAAGCTATTTCTTCTGAGATAAGGCCTTCCTACTAGCCCAAGTTGGTCTTGGAATTGTGATCTCCCTTCCTCAGCCTCCTGAGTGCTGGGATTACAAACATATCTCACCACACCTGGCTGTGACTAATAATTGAACTTTAATCTTGGCATAGGCTAAGTATACCATCTGATTGGTCATCTTTTCTTTTTGTTCAACGTTCTTGAGATAATGATGATAACAGTAATAATAAGAATGCATTCCTTGTCAGTGCTACAATCATGATGGGGAGCAGTTTCTTAGAACTATGTAAAAACCCTCTGTAAACTAATGCATTTCATACAATGTACATCACACCAAACAAGTATCTAGTGTCCTTATTTTATAAAACATGCAGAGGGTTACAATTTGTTTTTGTCTGTGGTGCATTTTAAGTTGAGTGATTATAGTAGGTTTTAGTGTTTCATTCTTTTTGGATTCAAGCTTAGCACTTGCTAAAATTGAAGACTAAGGGGAAAATAAACATTAAAAGAATGCATAATATTTCCAAATGATGCTTTCCTAAGTTGAGGGTGAGCATGGCTAATACCAGAATATTGAGATCGAGCAGAGTTACATCAGTATGTTTAAAATATAGAAGTTATTACATAGTTTAAGAAAGATCATTCACTAGGCTAATATCTAATTATCAGTATTCATAACCATAGTCCTTTCTAAAGCATTTCTGTACGAATATTGACCTTACAACTCAGCTAAGTACTTTGAGATATTTGTGTCTGCCTTAACTACATAACTCAGCCAGGATAGAAAGTTTATTTTTCTTTGGGTAGGTAAATCTGTGAAGATGGATGGTACATGAAAAAATAAAGAGAAGGAATTCTCCAAGCAGATTTACATATTGATGACTTAAATTACTACTTAATTTAGTGCCTGCTAATAAACCGTGCCTTGGAAATGTTTCCCCAGCATTTATTGGCTGCGGTAATTCTACCTCATGTGTATGTGGATGGCATACTCATTAAATATTGATGGGCTCATGAAATGTTAATAGAATGTTAATATGAATTACAATGGAATGTGCTCATGGGGAGCCTGGAGCTGAAGCTGGAGCTGGAGCTGGAGCTGGCTGAAGGCTCTCTATCTTCTGCCTCTGCTTTATGTCCTGTCTTCTTGTATCACTAGTCACTTTGCTTCCCCATCCTGGGGAGATTCAGATTGGTGCCCTAAACTGGCTGCTCAGATACAATTTTTTTTTTTTTTTTTTTGTCGGTCGTGGGGCTTGAACTCTGGGCCTGGGTGCTGTCCCACAGCTCTTCAGCTCAAGGCGAGCACTCTACCACTTGAGCTATAGCGCCACTTCCGGTTTTCTGGTGGTTTATTGGAGATAGGAGTCTCACAGTCTCTCCTGCCCGGGCTGGCTTTGAACCGCGATCCTCAGATCTCAGCCTCCTGAGTAGCTAGGATTACAGGCGTGAGCCACCAGCGCCCGGCTTCAGATACAATTTTTAACAAAGCAAAGGTTAGAGCCCAAAGAGGTCTCTTAAGAAGAGGATGATGGGAAGGTGGCTCAGTGGTAGAGTGCTTGTCTTGCATGCCTGAGGCCCTGGGTTCGATTCCTCAGCACCACATAAGCAAAAAGGAAAAAGCCAGAAGTGGCGCTGTGGCTCAAAAGGTAGAGCGCTAGCCTTGAGCTGAAGAGCTGAGGGACAGCACCCAGGCCCAGAGTTCAAGGTCCCACGACTGGACCCCCCCCCCAAAAAAAAAAAGAAGAGGGTGATTCGGGCCTAGGGGCTAATATGGTAATGTATGGCAGATCCTGGCTTTCAATGCCTGTCATTGCTCAGCAGGTCAAAGAATTCAGTTTCCTTAGATAGAAGCTCACCAACCATAACACATCACCTAAAGGGATCATCAGAAAGGATTTTGCTCCTCAGTCTCCAGGACAGCAAAGCTGTGGTCATGAGGCTGTTCAGTGCATTACTATTTTGTATGGTTCTGTTTTGAATCACTTTTCTTACATCCTCTTAAAGGTCAGAGAGAATTGTAGGTTTGGATAACCTAAGACTTTTAGATTCTATATGCTCTGTGCATGTAATATTTTGTCCTGAGCAGCAGAGTCTTAATTGGAGGAGTGGCTGTCCTCCTTGGTCTGTGAATGCTATTGACTCCCTGGGAGTTATACTTACTGACTCACTCCTATAACCTGTTCCCCATTCCTCTGCAGATTGTTCTGGAGAACAGCAGCCGAGAAGATAAGCATGAATGTCCCTTTGGCCGCAGTAGTATAGAACTGACCAAGATGTTATGTGAGATCCTGAAAGTTGGTGAGCTGCGTAAGTATGCTAATCACCTCCCTATCAACCCTTCCCAGGGTGAAGCTGCTAAGGCCAACTTCCCTCTGCACAAAGAATGCCCAAGATACAACAGCTTCTCAACATCAATACTGTGGGTCAGTTATTTGCTGGTTCTACTTTCCAATGTTCCAATTTCTACATGCCTACTCTGGATAGAATTATTCTGAAAGCTTAAAGGGCGAGAGAAATCTGCAGATATTATGTCTGAGTCTCAAATATTATGAAATTGAATATACATCAGAATAGACTGCTTCCTGGTTAGGTCAAAAAAATCTGTAGATTTTTTTTTTCAAATTTGAGTTTATAACCTATGAGGAGGTCATTTTCTGTTCTTGCTTTCAAAATGATTTTTCTCTGTAAAGAAAAAGTGACTACTTTAATGAAATTCTCTTGCTCCCAGTGATTCTGCTGTTTTGAATCCTTGCTCTAAGAGAAAAAAAAGAAAAAGAAAAAGAAAATGAGTAGCTGGGAATGAAAAATTGGTTAGAGATAGATTTTTGACTCTTTTTCCTACTTGCATTATAAAATTTATGAGATGACATCCCAGGAAAAGGGGAGATGATAATTTTCTGCCTTATGCACTTTGGCATAATTTAGTTTGGACTTGTGAAGGTGGATGTGATTTAATCTGCCTCTGTTCTCTTTGTTCGAGTTTCTCCCTGAGTAGCTGACTTCCACTTCCTCCAGCAGGTAGGGAGGCGGGGTCTGGGTCAGTTTTTTTCTCTTAGGCTTCATAAAGTAAGGTACCAGAGAGGGATGTTTGCATTAAGAAAATGTTGGGGCATTGGCCAGTATTGTGAAAAGCATAAATGTGCTGTTAGCTATTTGAGAGTGTAAATTGTGGTCTGGGATGATTAATGGGAAGGAACCCACTGATTGAATTGGAGAGAGGCTTTTGTTTTATTGGGATTATAGAACTAACTATAGGTGCTGCTGGGGGGTGTGGCAGGGAACCAGCATAGTAAACAACAGTGACAGAATTTGAGTCATTTTGACCAGCCAGGAGGCCATATCCACCTGCAGTGAGGGTGGGTTGGGAAGAAGCTGCCCCAGACACAGAGCTGCAGCTTGAGTGCGTGATCTCTGACCCCCACTGGGCCATTTTGCAGTAGAACCATGGCTACCCAACTGGAGATTTTCATGTTAACCTGCTCAGCAAATGTTGAGATTTCTGTTCACACAGATCTACCCCACTTCCTAATTAGATCAACTCATGGAGATTTCAGTCTGCAGTATAGCTTACTGTTTATTCAGCTGTCAAACAAGTCCCATGAAATCTCTCCATCTGATAACTATGATAATTTCAGGTTTATCTCAATTTCATGGGGAAAATTGTTCGAAGTCATTTTCTAAAAGAGAATTTGAAGTCCCTTTGATTTTCTTTTCTTTTGTTTCTTTTTTTTTTTTTTTCTGGAACTAGGAGACAGCTAGACTGTGTTCGGCTAGTGATTGGCAAGGCTGGGATTTCTGTGTCTAGGTTAGCATCCTTCATTGTCCTGACCTCTCTCACCTTCCCCATTTCTATCCTCCATGATGGCACACTGGGGCTGCTTGCTTCCATACTGAGAGAGCTGGCATGTGCAATACCCAGCTTTTTGTCCTGTCCCTTGCCCAGTAGGTATATTACTACCATGCTACAAGTTAACCCTGAAGAGGGACAAAGTGGGCAATAAAGAGAGCTGGGGGCTACCTCACCAAGTCTACTGTGTTCTTGCAACTCCATATTCTCCCAGAGCTGATCACCTAGAAAAGGATTGGTAGTATAGTGGGTGATGATCTGAGTGCCTATCTTCAATTTATGACTGGAATTGTAGGACTGCACTGAGAACAGCCCAGTGGGAATAGATAATACTCAACCTGCAAAGACTTGGAAAACCTGGTGAAAATCTAGAGTGGGCCTGGGCAGGGTAAATGTAGACCTAATTTGGTCAGGCCTCCATATCAGAGGGGCCAAATCTGTTGGACAGAGGGACCTGAGGGGTCAGAAGCCTCTCTCCTCAGTCCTCCTCCCTGAGTGTCTTCTGGGCTTGGCGGTCTGGTACAGAAACGTGCAAAGTCAGAGCCCTGGGAATGCACACAGCCTTCTGAAGACCTGGTACTCAACCTTAGGAGGCAGATTGGAAACCCATCTAGCATGTGGATAGAGAGTGGGGTAGAGATGCAGCCAAACACTTCAGGGTCCCTGGTGATATTAGGTTCCTCTGTGCTGTCAGCTCCTCTGACTCTGGGAGGAGTGTGTCTGGTGGACACACGCCCCAACTTTCTGATATAGGACATTTAGCATATGCTCAAGCTGACTCTGCAGTTCAACTAGACTTAGACAGCTGGAACCTGGCAGAGGCAGCTTCCCTTTATCAAAGGTAACAGACACAGCAATTGGTTTGTTTGGAAAACATCTCCTGAATACTTGCTGTGTGCCAGCACCTATGATGGACCCTGTAGGTCTAATCAAGCCAGATACAGCCTCTGCCCTCCCCCCTTTTGTCTGCCGTGAGCTTCTAGAAGCTTCTTAGACTTGAGAAATCTGAAGAACAAGCTTACACTTCCCTGTGAGATGAAATAGATTACAATTTTTAAGTAAATGTTGATTCTTCTGTTCTAAAGTATAGTTTCCCCCAATGTTTTGACAGTGTCACCTTTCCAGTTTGCTTGCTTGCTGACCATCTGAGCATTCCTCGAAGCTTGTAAAAGAAAAAGTTCATGTTTCTAAAATCTACAGGCTCAGATGAGTTTGTTTTCTGCTCATAAAATATTAAAGGATTGCTACATTCTGATGGAGTGCTTGGCACCAAATGATAAAACACCCCATGGAAAGAGGAAAATTGCTTTGTTAACAGATTGCCTTTTGCCCCATGCCATATTAAATAAGTTACTAATATGAAAAACAAATCTGAATGCACCCTTATGCTGAAGGAGATACCTATTTTTCTTCTAAGGCAAATTAGTTTTACATAGAAATCCATCTTTCTTTGGTTTGTACACATCTATTTTCCTCATTCCTAAGCTCATGATTCTGAGCACTTCTCAGATTTGTGTTAAAAACTGACCTTGAAGATCACTGTCAGTCTAGCTTCATAAGCAAATGCTGAGACCAGAAAAATACCCAATTAAAAACCTAACTGGTTAAAAAATGTATGTTTATAAAAGAAGAGACATTTAATTTTCTAGGAATGGTTTCTCGTTTGATTTACTTTTAGCTCCCTTGAGGATCCTACTTCTGAAATACCAATTATATTTTGGTATCTCAAACAAACATATTAATGTACAACTGAATTACTGATACCAAATATTTATTTTTTTTAAGTTGTGTAAAAAAATTGCACAGTTCTTTGGCTTCCCAATTATTGACAAGAAGCAAATGTTATCTCTAAAAGTACTTTCTAAAATAACTTCTATTTATATTCTCAGGCCACTTTATCAAGGTTATTTAATTGAAGTCTGGAACACCCCTAGGAGTTCAGGCTCAATACCATCCATGTTTATTAATGAAGGGAAGACTTGTGCTGACTGCATATTGTGTGGCTTTTCTGCACTCAGTATGGTGTTCAGGAGATTTGCATAGAAAAACATAGCAAAGTAGAATGGTGACTTTTGAGCTAGAATGATCCATCTTTGAATTACCTCCAATACACTTTTTGTATCCCTTGGGCATACTTCTCTTCAGTTCTCAGCCTTTAGCCCTCTGTCCATACAACCATACCTGCTTTTCACAGTCGGTAGAATGCTTCTATGAAGTCATTAGTCCTATCTTAGTTGGAGCATGGTTTAAGTTTTTGTTTGTGTATTTGGATGTGATAGGATCTCAACTTTCCTGGAGCAATCTTCAGGTTAACCGAGAGGGGGATTTTGTTCTCACTAGGTGCAGCTGGAATCAGGACCTAGGACAGCACCCCCACTTTCTTCACTATATACTGGCTAAAATTTAATATGCTTGGCAAGCCTGACTCAGATTTAACCAACTGTGGATTGGAAATGTTTGGGAAATAAGTTCTATCTGTACTGCATATGTACAAACATTTTTCTTGTCACTATTCTCCAAGTAATTCATAGCTATTTGCATAGAATTTCCATTGTGTTAGGTATTGTAAGTTCTGGAGGGATGAGTTTGTATATGACAAATTATATGCAAATACCACGTGATCTTATATAAAGGAGTTGAGTGTCCTTGGGTTTGAGTTCCTCCCGGGGGGGGGGGGGTTCTGTAATCTGTCCTCCATGCGTGACAAGGGACAACTGTATTCTTTCTGTCCTACATTTGTTGTAAGGCACTATGAGAGCAAGACTTGTGCCCCACCACCTCCATTTCAACTTTCTAAATCATGAGAAAGAGTTACACCCTTGGAGGGGGTCATATTGTGGGTTTTATGCTTGGCAGAGCCAGTAAGATGAATAAGGTTGAAGCAGAAGGAGGAGTGGGTCTTCAGCAGAAGAGATTGTTGTATCAATCTTGGTGGAGGTGCAGGCAGAGGAGGCACAGGGTTGGCGTCTTTATGTAAGGAAGGTTGGGCTTAGAAAAGTGCACAGAGTGAATAGAGGTTGTAGCCGATGAAAACTTCAATCAGTAAGACATCTAGAGGTTTAGAGAATTCTAGTTCTGTGTGGTTAAAGCAGTTTTGCATTGAGGCTGGCTCTGGAAACAAGCACCCATTTCTGAGTATCTGCCATGTAGAAGAGTTTGGACTATACCTGACAGACCTTGGAGAACCACAGAAGGGCTTCTCCACAAGGAGAAGGAATGTCCCCTTTGTGGATGTAATACTCTAAAATTTGGTTGAGTTTTCTGAATGTGGTGAGAACTTGTAAGCACAGAATATATAGGGCAGAGCAAGGACAAGCCGATCTCAAATAAGCCCAGCCTTGATAAATGAGCAGCTAGGATGATCTCAGCTGGAAGTAGAAATCTTAGCTCATTGGTGAAGTCCAGAGCAGAGCGGGTCCCAGGACTGATTAACTGGGCTGTACAGTGATGTCATCCAGTT